GCTGTGGTCTTTGATCTTCATCAATAAGTGCTTCAAGTCCTCTTTACTTTCAGGAAGCAAGGTTGTATCATCTGCATATTGAGGCTGTTAATGAGTCTTCCTCTAATCCTGATGCTGCATTCTTCATATAGTCCAGCTTCTCGGATTATTTGCTCAGCATACAAATTGAATAAGTATGGTGAAAGGACACAACCCTGACACACACCTTTCCTGACTTTAAACCACACAGCATTCCCTTGTTCTGTTCGAAACAACTGCCTCTTGGTCTAAGTATAGGTTCCTCGTGAGCACAATTACGTGTTCTGGAATTCCCATCCTCCACAATGTTATCCATAATTTGTTATGATCCACACAGGTGAATGCCTTTGCATAGTCAATAAAACAGATAAACATCTTTCTGGTATTCTCTGCTTTCAGCCATGATCCATCTAACATCAGCAATGATATCCCTCATTTCACTTCCTCTTCTGAATCCAGCTTGAATTTCTGGCAGTTCACTGTTGATGTACTGCTGTAACAGCTTTTCAATGATCTTCTGTAAAATTTTACTTGTGTGTGATATTAATGATATTGTTTGAGAATTTCCACATTCTGTTGGATTGCATTTCTTTGGGATGGGAACAAATATGGATCTCTTCCAGTCAGTTGGCCAGGTAGCCGTCTTCCTAATTTCTTCACATAGATGAGTGAACACCTCCAGCACTGCATCCGTTTGTTGAAATATCTCAATTGGTATTCCATCAATTCTTGGAGCCTTGTTTTTTGTCAGTGACTTCAGTGTAGCTTGGACCTCTTCCTTTAGTACCATTGGTTCTTGATCATATGCTACCTCCTGAAATGGCTGAACATCAACCAAATCTTTTTGGTACAGTGACTCAGTATATTCCTTCTATCTTCTTTTGATGCTTCCTGTGTCATTTAAATATTTTCCCCATAGAATCCTTCACTATTGCAACTTGAGGCTTGAATTTTTTCTTCAGTTCTTTCAGCTTGAGAAATGTCGAGCCTGTTCTTCCCTTTTGGTTTTCTATCTCCAGGTCTTTGCACATTTCATTATAATACTTTGTCTTCTGCAGCTGCCCTTTGAAATATTCTGTTCAACTCTTTTACTTCATCATTTCTTCCTTTCACTTTAGCTACTTTACGTTGATGAGCAACTTTCAGAATCTCTCCTGACATCCATTTTAGTCTTTTCTTTCTTTTTAATGACCCCTTGCTTTCTTCTTGTATGATGTCCTTGATGTCATTCCACAACTCGTCTGGTCTTTAGTCGTTATTGTTGAATGCCTCAAATCTATTTTTGAGATGGTCTCTAAATTCAGGTGGGATATACTCAAGGTCGTACTTTGGCTCTTGTGGACCTGTTCTAATTTTCTTTCAACTTCAACTTGCATATGAGCAATTGATCGTCTGTTCCATAGCTGGCCCCTAGCCTTGTTCTGACTGATGATGTTGAGTTTTTCAATCGTCTTTTTCCACAGATGTAGTCGATTTGATTCCTGTGTATTCCACCTGGTGAGGTAGCAACTGTATAATCCACATGAATACCATGTATATTCATTTCCTCATAGTATAAATGAAGATGAAGCTAATTCAACCACACAGCTGAATAACCCGGCTTTCTTTCTCCAGCCAAAGAAGTGCATCTGCATACATCTTCTTTGATCCTTATTCTATACTAAAAAATCCCCTGTACTCTCCCACATATATTAAAAATGTAGCCTTTGATACAGAATCACATCTTCAGTCTTTTGAAAGTGTAAGTTCACTGTGTTGTTGTTAGTCACCATTGAGTCAGCCTCAACTCATGATGACTCCATGCACAATGGAACGAAATGCTGCCTGGTCCTGTGCCATCCACACGATTGGTTGCAGAGTAGCCTGTTTTGATACACAGGGTTTTCACTGGCTGATTTTCAGAAGCAGATCACCAGAAAGATACATATACCAAATTCCCCTTGGCTGAATCTATTTCTCTGTCAGAGAATTCTAGTATATCTAGGCATGATATACTCTTGAAGGAAAAATGCTACCTTTTCTCTAATTGATTTTTTTGTTTCTTTAGATGTTAAGCAATTATCTTCTTTATCATATATACTGCCATGTTGTCCAGTATAAAAGTGGGGCTTGTCAACTTTTAAATTCCCAAGATTACTTAGAATCTCCATAAGAGGCCATATTTATGCTCACTAACTTCAAAAAAAAAAAAACACAACTGATTGTGTTGTTTTTTTAATGTGCTATAGATAATTTAAAGGACACTGACAAGCCTTTATATCCATATCTTTATTTGAACAATTTTCTATAATAGCTAGAATACAGCATTAATGATGCACATGTACTAAGTACAACATGAGATATCTATAAATTTAGCTCATAAATGTCATTCTGATATTGTTTTGGTTTTCATGTTAGCAGTAAGTGATATCTAAGGAAAACCTATGTTTCAAAGGCTTTTGTTGACAGGAGGTGCTTTATGAATTTTTTTTAATTTCACGTGAGATATGCTGGGATGCATCTGGTTTAAAACTAGTTTAGTTGATAATGGCTGTCACTTCTCAGCACTTCTGCTTCTTTTTTTAACGGATGAACAGTTCTCCTAAGAACTTCTCACAGATTAACTACACCACATTTTTTCTATGCAGATCAAGGTAAAATTCCTTCTCCAAATTGAACAAGGGAAAATATTCTGAAAAACTGTAATGTTCAATTTCATTGTAGTTAAAAGGCATATCCATTCCACAGCAAAATAATACGTTAAATACAAAATACAATATGTTAAATGTCATGAGCTCGTTTCTATTATGCAACATTGTTAGAGCAATTTAACAGAAAAAAAATCAATGTTAATCCAGGATCCCACAAAAATACGTAACAAGAATCATAAATTATACATATCCACATCTAAGCGGAAAACAAACACCATTTGTGGGAAAAAAATTAAAAATTAAAATTAAGTGGCTCACATGATTTGGAGAGCCTGAAATGTAGGCTGAAAATTTTATAACATATGGTATTATTAAGATATTTAAAACTACTGACTTTCAAAAATGCATTAAAATGTACTGATCTTACATATACCAGTTTCAACTCAAAAAAAAATTTTCTTTCCAACAGTTCAAGCAATATTACAATACTAAGGAAATGTTAGTCATTTTCAAACATTTTGTGAATCTAATAACACCCATTTAATTAAGCTAATGAACATTTTAGCTAAACAAATTATAAAATGCATTTTGGCAGATATTTTACAAGTACTTTTCAGTTCCTGGTCTATGGAGAAACTGTACTGTAATTCCAGGTTGATTAATTTAAAATAATACAAGGGATTAGAATTTAAAGCACTCTTTCCTGTTTTCACTCAACCTTTTTTATAGTACAAGGTTCTTATAATTTCTTTTTAAAAGAATGCCTGTGAAAGATTTTAGAGAGTTGTACCCTTTATTAAAAATGGGTTAGTAGAAAATAAGACATTTAAGTATTACCAAGAATCTGATTTATCTATTTCTTCCATATGTTTATTTGCTTACTCGTGACACAGAATTCCCACAAACTCAGGAACATTCTCTAAGCTGACATTTCATTGGCTCTGAGATTGCTGCTGCCCCATAATGCTGGTCCCTGTTTGGAAATAACAGAAAGCAAAGGAAGAAGAATGTACAGGAGGGAGAGGGTCATGCAGGAAGGTAAGAAAGGAATTAGTGGTTGGAGACAACACCCAACCAAAACCCTCACAAAACCATACGCAACAGGGCAAGATATCCTCTCTAGGCAAGACATCCTTTACAAAGGGAAAGTTCCAGAGAACTTAAGGCAGCTCTAGAAGGGAAGGGAGAAGGGGTTAAGGCGGCCCTCACAGCACTGCCTGAGAACAAATCACAATGCACTTATCTATGAACACAGGCCACAGCACAACAGAGCCTCTCTAACCCACGTGCACACAGCACATCTTCTAGCTCAAAGCAAACACCTGCAGGCATGCACACATTGCAATGTTCAATCCCATGCTGACTGGGACCTGGCCTGCCCCGTGGACAGCCCTTAGGAGATGCCCAGTGGCTTGGACTACTCAGTGATGGGGTGCTAAATCAGGGAGGGTGGTCAAGCCTGAGTACCTGGGGCCTGGCCTGCAATTGCAGGCTCTCTGCAGGCTGTACAGCTCATCTGGTGGCTCCAGCAGGGGCTCTGGGGGAGTATGTTTTGAAAGAAACCTTCCTCTTAACTTTAGGGAGGCTTTCGCTGCTTCCTGTCTCTTTGGTTGAGGCTACCTGATACCTAATTAATGATCCAAACACAGAGCATTGCACCCTCCAAGGGTCAAACCTTGTTACAACAGGTCACTGCAACAGAAAAGAAACCACCTGGCTCTGAGCGCTTCATCCACTAGAACAGATAACATAGCACTTGGCACCTGCCCAGTCCCAGGTGCTAGCTGGAGAGCACCCCTTGCTGGCCCTGTGGTGCCCCACAGGTACCAGGAAGAACAGAATGTCACCTCACAACAACCACTTTTTAAAGTCCCCTGCCTCGCATCTGCCCACACTGCCCCTTTGGCCTCTGGGAAAGCGGGAACTGCTCGACCGCAGGCAAGTCGCTTCGTTAGCTCTATCTCACGTTATCATCAGCACATGATGTAGTCCTACCCTATCTGCTACCGTGAGGATAAAACAAGGTATCAGAGAAAGAGCACTGAAGTAAAGCATGTCTGGACACAAGGTACTGTTTCTGTACAACTTTCAACAGGAGAATTGAAGGGTCACTAATTTTTTGCTTTCTGTTTTATCCTAAACAGTCGAAACTACCCAGAGGATCTTTGATTCTGCCTCCTGGGGAACAAACTGGTGAGACTGTGTGTGTGTGTGTGTGTGTGTGTGTGTGTGTGT